AAAAATGCGCCATATCCCATCCCACCATGACAGAGCACCTTGTGTAATGATTTTGTTGTTTCTCAAATGGAGGCGTACCCACATGTTCCTAGGGCTCTGAAGTTTTACTACACCTAGTGATTTGTTTTGATTTTTTAAAAAGATTTTATTTATTTGAGAGAGAGAAACTGAGAGAGACAGAGAGATCACGAGCAGGGGTGGGGAGTAGAGGGAGAAGCAGACTCCCCACTAAGCAGGGAGCCCAATGCAGGACTCAATCCCAGGACCCCAGGATCATGACCTGAGTTCCTTCTCCCTTTCCCACTCCCTCTTGTGTTCTCTCTCTCGCTGTCTCTCTCTGGCAAATAAATAAATAAATTTAAAAAAAAAAGAATTCCTTTCATTTTTTTAGGTTTGTGAAACATCACTTAAGCTTAAGCCTCTTTTGGGCAGAAGAATATTTAGCTGTGAGTCAGACACCTGTGGTTTATTTAAAGGGACATTTAGGAAATCATTAGCACAGAGGTCCCACTGGGGAACACACAGGGGATCAAGGCGAGGAGAGTTTGTCTCCTGGTTCTGTAGGGAACTGCTCCACGGCAGATGTCATTCATGCCGGGGAACATCTGGGTCACACATCCCACACCCCCTTGGAATTGTCCTATAGTCACTTGGGGAGGAAAGGAAATGCTACAACTAGAGAAACAGCTGTCTTTTATTGCCTCTGCAGAGATTGGCTCAGGCCTCTCTGTCTTCCCTAGAAGGGATCCTCACTCACTTGGGGAGGGGAACAGCCATCCCATTGGATAGCCATGGACTCAGCTAGTCCCACTGTGGGCTTGGATGGTCAGTGTCTGCAGGAAATCACAGACTAGACCATACTTAAAATTCCCTATTAGGGGCGCCTGGCTGTCTGTCTGAAGAGCATGTGACTCTTGATGTTGGGGTCAGGAGTTCGAGCCCCACATTGGGTGTAGAGACTGCTTAAATAAATAAATCAACTTAAAACAAAACAAAAACTCCCTACTAGCACTCACTGATCTCACTGCCTCAGGAGAGAGGGAAAGGGCCCTGTGGAACAGTGAAGTGACAAGTGCAGAGGGGGAGATGCTTGTGAGCCTTGTGTGCCTTTTGCAAGTAACATTTGCTTCTCCTTAAAGCTAAAGTTTTTGGCTTTAGACTGGGGAAGGGGGGACAGTGGGTGATGGACACATGACACATTCTGCCTGGGGGAATGTGGGTAGATGTGGCCCGTGTGCTCCTCCCAGTTTTTGGCAACAAGCCTGGGATGGGTCATTTTGTGTCCTGTCACAGTTGCAGTCCTTGGAAGGCAGGGAAACATTCTGTAGGTGGGGTGGTAATAAATACTTGCCCATGCCTCCCTTTTGTTGTGAGAAGCAGAGGAAATTCAGCGTGAGAAAGTACTCTAAACTAGTAAGGGCTATCTGACTAGGAACTATTTTTTTTTAAAGATTTTATTTATTTATTTGAGAGAGAGAGAGAGAATGAGAGATAGAGAGCACGAGAGGGAAGAGGGTCAGAGGGAGAAGCAGACTCCCTGCTGAGCAGGGAGCCCAACGCGGGACTCGATCCAGGGACTCGATCCAGGGACTCCAGGATCATGACCTGAGCCGAAGGCAGTCGCTTAACCAACTGAGCCACCCAGGGGCCCTGACTAGGAACTATTGATCACAAGATAGGAAGGTGCATGGTTTAAAGGAAAGAGCTCTGGGTTTTGTTAGGGGGCCTGGGTATGGATCTTGGCTCACCCACACACTAGCTCTGTGACTTTGGACGAGTTTTGTATCTTTCAGAGCTGATTTTGTTGTGTGTAGGGGATGTGGTGGGGGAGGGAGTCCATTTCTAAGTACAGGAATAGTCTTTGCTTTACCTCACAGGATTGTGATCAAAATAGAAAATATGACAAAGCTCTTTGTAAATTGGAAAGAAAATGTTCTTAACACAGCTGAATTTTTCAGATCTCTCTGTAGCCACCAAGTCTGAAATTGGTCCCACAGACATCTCAAGCATGATGAGTCCAAACAACAGTGACTCATCATCTTTCTCCCCAAACCAGCTCCTTCCCTGGGTTTTTCAGCTTGGCGTTAGGGGGGCAGAAAGAAGCTTATTCAGGGGTGCCTGGGTGGCTCAGTCAGTTAAACATCTGCCTTTGGCTCAGGTCATGATCCCAGGGTCCTGGGATCAAGCCCCACATCGGGCTTCCTGCTGAGCGGAGAGCCTGCTTTTCCCTCTCCCTCTGCCTGACTCTGCCTACTTGTACTCTCAGAAAGAGAGAGAGAGACTCTCTCTTTCTGTCAAATAAATAAATAAAATCTTAAAAAAAGAAGAAGCTTATTCATTGTCCCCCCAATTATCTATCCAATCAAGGTAATTCAGGTACTATGGATCAAGGACCTCTGCTGTGAAGATTTCCAGAGCTTTGTAACTTACCCATGTTTACTAATTGTATCATCTTCTGCTTCTCTGTAGTTACTAGCAGGGAAAGGGACCTCATACATACCTAGGCTGATCTCATCAGGGCATCTTTCTGGTGGCTCCCCGAACCCATCTTTCTCTCCTTCAGTAGTCACCGGCATCCACTCCATTTCCTGGAGGTTCTCTACTTCCTGAGGGGGAATGCAGGCTCCCAGGCAATCAGCCTTCCTGCTATCCCCTAAAATAAAAACACACTCCCCCTTTTAGTGTGATTTATTTTTTACTGTTAATCATTATGGGGAAATAGATGGGGGGCGGAACTACCAAAAATATGAGGAAGTTACAAAGCTGACAAAGTTTTCATATTAGTAAGCCCTCCACCAGTTCCTAACTCAGTCTGAGGTGGTAAATGAAAGTCCCTTTGCCTCTTGTCCGCGTTTATTCCTGAAAGTTGTACTTCTCACCCAGCACCCTCACCCACTCTTTCCCCCTAGGTTTTGGGCTCCCTGTGGGCAAGTACTTGGTATTCCCAGTGCTTAGCACAGGGCCTGGCACATAGGGCCAACATATATTGAGTACTTACTCCATGCCAAATACTGTATGAAGACTTTATGTGGATTATCTCACTCATTCCTCAGATGATCCTTTGAGGTAGTTACCATTATGTCCCCATTTTAGAGAAAGGAAACTGAGGCACGGAGAGGTCAAAGAAGTTGCCCCAGGACACACAGCTGGTAAGTGGCAGGTTTGGGATTCAGTTCCGAACTATCTAACTCCAGGGCCCATACTCCTAACCACTATACTGAAGACATTTATTTTTTTTAAGATTTTATTTATTTATTTGACAGAGAGACACAGCGAGAGCAGGGAACACAAGCAGGGGGAGTGGGAGAGGGAGAAGAGAAGCAGGCTTCCTGCCGAGCAGGGAGCTGGATGTGGGGCTTGATCCGAGGATGCTGGGATCATGACCTGAGCCCAAGGCAGACGCTTAAGGACTGAGTCACCCAGGCGTCCCTATACTGAAGACATTTAAATATTCGTTGAACATATTAAACTCTTTTCTTTACTTCCCATGTCATGACAACCTCTGCCTTGTTTCTCTAAAATGCATTCTCTCTAGGTTCCCTAGCACAAACTCTCAACTACTCCTTCCACCTTACAATAGACTTGTAACTTTTTCATTAGACCGGTGGTTTTTATTTTTTATTTCTTTTTAAGGTTTTATTTATTCATTTGAGAGAGAGAGAGAGAGAGAGAGCACAAGTGGGGGGGGAGGGAAAGGGAGAGGGAGAAGCAGACTCCCCGTTGAGCAGGGGCCCTGGGGCTCAATCCCAGGCACCTAGAGCAGTGGTTTTTAAACCTTCTTTGAATCTCAGAGCCTGTGGAGAATCTTATCAATGAAAGCTATGGCTCTTACCTAGATTAACATTCACATCCACAAAAATATGGATACAATGGGCAGAAGGGGCAAGGAGCACACATCATCTTAAACCCATCAGTGAACCCTAGGGTTCCCTTGTTATTGTTTGGGGTGACAGGCGGGTGTGTATAAGTTGAAATTCCTTTGCAAGTCTTACTAGGCCATGTTTACCTGTCTAGCCTCATCTCCAGTCACACACCCGAAGTTTAGGGCTTAAACATACTGGGCAAGCACTTTTACATCTCTAAGACGTCTTAGAGATGTAAAGTTCCTGCTCCTTGGAATACTTGTCCCCTCCACCTCTATCTGAGGCACTTGCCATCAAAGTCCAACTGGAATGTTACCTCTCAGATGCCTTCCCTGACCCTCCAGACCCCCAATTTGTTTCAGAAACTCCTCGCCTCTAACACTGTCTATAACGACGACAGCATTGGTCATGTTAGGTTAGTTGCTAAGAACCCCGTCTCTCTCGATTCATCGTTTGCTCCCCCAGAGCAGGGATAGCATGTCATTCATCGCTGTATCCCCAGTAGTCTATAAGAACGTGCGTGACACATAGTAAGTGCTCACAACGTTTATTACATTGGTTTGTGCGGGGCTCGGCTTTCCCTCCGCGACTGTCAAGCTCATTACAGATGTGGAGGAGACTAACATGCTTAGGACAGAATCGAGTGATTAAAGTCCGCTCCGTGAGGAATCAGCCGGAGAGAAGACGAGCCTGAGGCCAGGCTTTCGAAGTAGGGCAGAGGCCGCGGACAGAAGGTGAGTAACGCTCACGCAAACTATTCAGTTTCGGGTCAGGCGGAGGAAGACGCGCACTGCATCTTGGGATCTCGCGACTGAGGGCCGCATTGCACGGCGGGATTTGTAGTCCCGCCCTTCGCCGGGACCCTCAGAACGGTCACACCTGGCTACCCTCAAACACGTCTTTACACAGATAAGGTACAATCTTGGCCACCCTGCACAGAATGACGAGGTTCTTCAGGGCCACTATACCTAGTTGCGCTCTTCAGAACAAATCTCATTTCGGCGTTGGCAAGAAAGTTGCATTGAGTGCCGCGGCGTGTGCGTGACGCCTGTGTTCGTGCGCGGGCGCGCACCAGGCCCCGCCTCCGGAAGCTCCGTCGCTGCGGCCGGGCGCTGTCCTCGCGAGGCCTCCTTGAGCCGGGTGGCGCAGGCGCGGTGTCCCTGGGCCAAGATGGCGGCGCGGTGTTCCACGCGCTGGTTGCTGGTGGCTGTGGGGAACCCTCGGCTGCCGGCTGCAGCGGGGAAAGGCGCCGGGCCGCCCAGGGGGGGCGTGGTGGGGGCTTCGCTGGGCTACAAGCTGAACGTCACTACCTTCGCGCCTTCCTTGGGAGCTCGGGGCTCCGGGGCGCTGCTGACATTGAGACCCGGTGTCAGCTTCAAAGGTGAGGGCAGGTTCCAGAGCCCGAGCGTGGGGGCTATAAGGCCCGGAAGGGAGTGACTCGATCCGACTGCGGGGGTAGCGGGGTTGGAGGGTGTCTTCTGACCTGTAAGAGGATTTGCTTGGAGAGACTGGCAAGCAGGAGGCAGAGAGGTCCAAATGGCTTCTCAGAAGTCGTGAACAAGGGAGAGCTACATGGAGCCTGGCGGCGGTAGTGAAACGCTCCGTAGGCCTACAACCTTCACTTCTCTGTCAACATTTCTAGAAGCCTTTTTCCGGCCTGCCGCTGCTCCGTTACCCTATTCCGTTCCCGTCTTCTCCCTTCACCTTCTGGCCGGAAGGGAGGAGGTAATTATTCTTCGGTGAGCACCTGTTACGGTGCTTGGCACTTTGTGACCCATTTCGCTTGATGATAACAATCTTGCAAGAAGGGTGTCGTCATTCTCATTTTAAAGAACGGGAAACTGAGGTCATAAAGCTAGATGAGAAGAGTTATCCCAAACCGAGGGCTGACCTTTAATAGCTTATGCTCTTTCCACCACATAGTTTTAACTGAAGGGCACACTTAGTCTTTCCTAAGTCCTTAAATGGGTAATTGTAATAAAAATACAAACTAACATTTATCGAGCACTTTACATGTACCAGGCATGGATCATTTCCATGTGATAGACACTGTTGCTATTCCATTGTATAGATAAAGAAATTTAAGCCTAGATGTTAAACAGCTTGTATAATGTGACAAAGCAGAAAGATGGTGGAACCTTGGTTCAAAACCAGCTTTCTTAATTGCTGGAGGCGTTACTAAATTAATATGTATTAAGCCTCTAAGTGTTTAGCATTGATGGTTCTGTTCTGCGTTGGACGACTTCCATTATAGTGAGAGAAGGAAGGAGGAAACGTTGAACCAGCCATGTGTCTGAATTGTGCTGTTGGTTGTGTTCCCTAGTCATTCTCCTGTCTGATGATCTTGCCTGCTTCCTGGATAGCCTCAACACCCCTGGTTGTATTTTGTGTTCAGATTAATTTTAAGTGGTCTCCCAGGCCTCCAGTTTGTTGTTGTTGTTGTTAGCGCTTTCTCATGGAAAGCCCATCCATTCTCTGTTTAACACTTGCAGTGTCTCCCTATTGCCTGCATGATAAAATCCGGACTCCTTAGCATAGCTCAAAGGCCCTTCAGTTTATTCCTAGCCCTCATTAATCATCAGCAGCATCATTACCTCCTGCCACCCCTCTACATGCATAAAATCTAGTTACATCACTAGTTACTAAATGCACGAGGACTTCCCTGTGAACCAAAGGTAATACATGATTTTGCAGCCAAATGAGGCACTTTTGAGCAGTAAAGGGGAAACTGTTTCAAATAACATCAGGACTGTAGGTGTAATTCTGGGCAGATTCAAACCTTTCCTTAGCCTGGTTAATTTCTACAGCTTAACAGCAGCTGCCTTAAAAGACCTTTCTGGAACTTTTTCAGTTGTATCGTCAGTGGTTCTCGACTGGGGATGATTTTGCCCTCTACAGGACATTCGGCAATGTCTGGAGATATTTTTAGTTGCCAGCGTGTGGCAGGGGTAGAGGGGGGAGTAGAGTGTGCTACTTATAAATAGTTGGCCAGGATGCTACTGAACATCCTTTGACATTCAGGTATTTTAATTGGCCAGGGATGCCATAACAAAGAACCACATTTATCCTCTCAGTTCTAGAGGCTAGAAGTCCAAGATCAGTGTTTTGGCAGGGTTGTCTTTAAAGACCGTGCCTCCAATTACTGTCACATTCTGAGGCACTGGAGATTAGGGCCTCAATACGTGAATTGGGGGAAGAGGACAGAATTAGCCCATAACAATAGGAAAACCCCTTCACTAGGAGGAATCCAGTCCCATCATCAATAATGTGAGTTTGAGAAACCCTGATTAGGTGACTCTTTGTATGTGACTCTGTATGTCCTTGTGTACTAAAAGCTCTTTGCACACTGCCTCCCACACTCTTGTGCAGGACTGTAAGCTCCTTGGCTTTGGCTTTTTTCTTCATCTTGTGTCTTCAGTGCCTACTACAGTGTTAAGATCTTGAATATACATAAGCTTCAGATGGGCAGTTCGCTTTCAGTGGTCTGCTACCTATTCCTGGAGCAGAACCTAGTGCCTGGCAAGTAGTAGATGCTCAGTGAGTATTTGCTGTATGAATGAATGGTGAATCCAGAAGCTTCTCTGTAGGCAGAGGTCTGACGTGGAAACCTGGAGTTGTCACGACTCTTATGCCTTAACGTGGCTCTCTTTCACCCCCTGCCCTGCCCTGCCTATCTTCATTTGTCACAGGATGTGTTGGGGGTTAGGCAGGGCTCAAAGTGTGGGGTGGCTCCCCCGCTTCACTTGGTGACAGACCAGTCCAGCTTAGTTCTCTACCACAGGCCACGAGGGCAGTTGAGTGGGGCAGAGTGTGTCTGCTGGTGGCTGGTCCTCCTGGTGCTGATGCCAGAAGCGTGAAAGGACATATGGCTGCCTGCCTTGGGCTTTGACCCATTAGCTGCTCTGGGGTAAACAGATTCAGGCCTAGCACCTTTTAATCCTGTGTGTCTATATAGGTGTATTGTTTTTAGGGGAGGGGCAGCACTTTTATCAGATTCTCTTAGATCTGTGACTTGAAACACTAAGAACCATTTCTTTAGTACAGTGGTCCTCAAATTGAGCATGTGGCAGAATCACCTGGAGGGCTTAGTAAGCATAGCTTACTGGACCTCCAGAGTTTCTGATTCAGGTCTGGGGTGGGGCCTGAAAATGGACATTTCCAACAAGCTGATGGTGCTGCTGGTCCAGGGACCACCCTCCGAGAACCACCCCAGAAGCAGATGCCCAAGGTTGCATGGTGAAGGGAAGGAACCTGGGGAATTGTTAAGCATTAAGGGAGACAAAGCATGTGAAGATACCTGGCATGTGGCAGGTGCTTGGGTAGTGTAACAGTGGGACAAGGTCCCTTTTTAATCATCCCCCAGGTATAGCCTCCATCTGGTGTGCTGCTCCTTTGGTGGTGTAATTAGGGTACCTCTTCACTGTATTGTGGTCCAGCAGAATCAGCCCTGCCCAGTGGTGTTTGTTTTATATTCATTATATACAGTGGCCTTGGCCATTTTTAAGTGAAGTGAGTTTGGTCTCCAGAGGGCTTGGAGGAAAGCTGACTCCAAAGCTATGATCTCCGTTCCTTCACAGTTATAACCTGGCTGGTTGTTCACTCACAATTTCCTTTTGTTGAGCACATTCCCAGAGTGATTTTCTTTCCTTTTTTCTTTTTTAGGAGTAAAAAGTTACCCTTTTGTTTGTACTGCCTCCTTCCACACGAGCTCCCCTTTGGCCAAAGAGGATTATTACCAGATACTAGGAGTGCCCCGAAATGCCAGCCAGAAGGAGATCAAGAAAGCCTATTACCAGGTCTGTATGGAAGCCAGATTTTAGGGACAAGACTGTAGAAGGGATGCTGTTGGTCTAGTCTGCTCACCAGTGAGGTGTATCTGCCCATACGTATGGGTCCTGTGCGGCTGACAGTGTAGAATGAAATGAAAACAATGGGTGTTCCTGGACTGTTCCTCAAACACATAGTGCCCTGCTGGTTAATGCTTCAGAAAAAAAGAGAGGAAGAACCAAAGATTTTTATTTTTATTTATTTATTTTTTAAAGTCTTTTTTTTTTTAAGATTTACTTATTTGAGAGAGAGAGAGAAAACGCATGTGTGTGCATGTGGCAGGGAGGGGCAGAGGGAGAGGGAGAGAGAGGATCTCAAGCAGACTCCCCGCTGAGTGTGGAGCTTGACGTGGGCTCGATCTCAGCCCTGAGATCATGACCTGAGCCGAAACCAAGAGTTGGATGCTTAACCAACTAAGCCACCCACGTGCCGTTTCCCCTTTTTTTCTATTTATCAGTAGTGCTGCTGGTAACATCCACATATAAGTTTTGTGTAGACCCATGTTTTCATTTCTTGTGAGTATGTTCATATACCTAGGAGTGGAATTACTGGGTCACATGATAAATCCGTGTTTAACCTCTTGAAGGACTGCCGGACTATTCCAAAATGGCCGCACCATTTTACATTCCCACCATCGGAGGGTTCTGACTTCTCCACATCCCCAGCAACACTTGTTCTTGTCTATCCTTTTTTTTTTTTTTTAATTAAAAGATTTTATTTACTTGAGAGAGAGTGAGCAAGTGAGAGAGTGAGCACAAGCCCAGGGGGAAAGGCAGAGGGAGAAGCAGGCTCCCCCCTGAGCAGGGAGCCCGATGTGGGACTCGATCCCAGGACCTGAGCTGAAGGCAGACGCTTAACTGACTGAGCCACCCAGCCACCCCTTGTCTGTCCTTTTGATTATAGCCACCCTACTGAGTGTGAAATGGTGTCTCACTGTGGTTTTAATTTGCTTTTCTGTGGTCGCTGATGATGTTGAGCATCTTTGTATGTGCTTATTGGCCATTTGCTGTATATGTATTTAGATTCTTTGTCCATTACTGGGTTGTGATGGAATGAGCAAAGGCACGGGGGGGTAGGAGGCAGAGACCCTGGCTTGGGATAGTGAATAACATGCTGCTTCCTTTGAGCTAGAGGGTAAGGTACCAGATGTAAGAGTGGGAGAGGAGTGAAATGATGGAGGCTGGGGCCAAACTAGCAGGACACATGAGGCTGTTTGTAAGCACTAGAAACTTAATTTGAGAGAGAGCAGGGAGGGGCCTGGCTGACTCAGTTGGTGAAGCATGCACCTCTTGATCTTGGGGTCATGAGTTTGAGCCCCAGGTTGGGTGTAGAGATTACTTAAAAATAATAAAATCTGTAATGTAAAGAAAAAAGTAGGGAACCACTCAAGTTTTTAGGTGTGGAAATGAAAAGATTAGGTAAAGCTGTGCAATTTAAAAATGGACATTTTTAAAGTAGCCTTTATAGAGAAATTTCTGGGGTCAGACCTTGATGAAAGCTTTGGGTGTATTGCATCATTCCATCCTCCTGACAGGCTTGAAGAGGTTATGACATCCAGCCAAGGCCCCATCAGTCAATATGTGTCGTACATGAGACTAAAATACTGCAGAAGATCTCTCTTTTCCTTAAGCTAATCTCATAAGTATACCTCTCTGTCTTACCTGGCTTTTGGGACCAGCTCTGTGGCCCACGATGATCTACTGGCTGTCCCTGGAGATCCTGCTTTAGGGTTAACACACAGTCTGTGGCCTGCTTCCACGAGCTGGTGTGAGGACCAGCATCTCCAGAAGCAGCTTGAGTTCAGAGGCACCAGTGGCGCTCTACTCTACAATGGCGGAGCTTCTCCTGCTGCTGCCTTTATTCTGTCTCCCTGACTTTGGGGAGTGGGTAGATGTTTCTGGCAACCTGCCAGCACCCTCCATCCTCCTGAAAACCAAAGTTGGGTAGCACATGACCAATTCTTTCTTTGTAGGCTTAGTGACTTGTATTGCTTTCTTTTGCTACCATGGAAGATTGAGAGCTGTTTGATTCTTAGTGTAAAGAAAGAACTCTGTGGGGTCAATTATTTGCCAGGCTGATTTGTAAAAGGGGATTAAAGTGACCTATGAACCAAAAGCAGGAGTTAGACTTACTCTGATGAAGAGCTCTCCATTGATGAGAGCTGTTGGTCATGGTACACTCCACTTTGGGTGAAAGCGAGTTCCCCGTCACAGGAAAGAATCCTGTTATGTTTCTCACAGTTGGATAATGTGCTGACACCCCTCTTTTTTTTTTTTAACTGTGATGATGTGTTTAAAAATTACGTTAAAATGTACCCAGCCCCCTTTGAAACCATATGAATCTCACGTGATCGTGTTTGTCTAAAATGAGACTGTTTTGTGTTGTGGTTGTCGTCCTCTGTCTCTGGCATGGCCCCGTGATGTCATACAGCCCTGTGATGTGTCTGAGAACTTGCTTGAATTTGAACTCCTTTGGGTCCTCGTTTGGCACTCTGAGCCGTGACGCTGTTTTGTCTTTACTTGGCACAAACTTGATCTTTACATATGACATCTCCCCTCATTCCTTTCACCTAAGCTGTGGACACAGTACCTCACCTGTGAGCTCTAAGGTTGTCTGCTTCAGTGCTGTATTTCACAGTGGTCATCCTGATGGTTTGGGGTATACTGGTAACAATCAGGAAGTTTTGGCTCATCAGTTGACAATTTAAAATTCCTGTCAGAACTTATTAGATGCTCCCACCTCCTGAACATGTCCTTCTGCTCCCTTTTATGTTCGAATAATAGCTGATGTTGAATGTTACTGTGTGCCATGCCTTGTGCTCATTTTATTTTTATTTTTATTTTTTTTATTTTGTTCAGTCAGCCAGCATATACTACATCGTTAGTTTTTGACGGGGTGGTCAACGATTCATTAGTTGCATATAACACCCACTGGCCTTCTGCTCCTTGTAGAATATGCGTTATCTCATTTTATCCCCACCACGGCCCTGTGAAGTAGATATCATTATTGTCATCTTACGGATGAGGAAGTTGTGCATAGTGACATTCTGCCCAAGGTCCCAGGGCTAGCAGACAGTGACTCTGGGCCCTCTGACCCTGAGGCTGTGCGCTTAACTTCCCGCGTCATGAGTACAGCCACTCAGGATGTCAGAGCCACGCGGCTTCTCCAGTAAGCTTTAGCATTCTGTGTGCCTCCTTCCCTCATGTGAGGGACCTGGTAAGCCAGGCTTGGAAGGCATCGGTAGCACACACAGTGAACGGCCTACTACGTGCACAGCACTCCTCAGAGCAGCCACAAGGTCACCTTTGTTTTATAGATTTTATTTATTTATTTGAGAGAGAGAATGAGAGAGAGAGCATGAGAGGGGGGAGGGTCAGAGGGAGAAGCAGACTCCCCGCTGAGCAGGGAGCCCGATGTGGGACGCGATCCCGGGACTCCAGGATCATGACCTGAGCCGAAGGCAGTCGCTT